AGTGTTATATCAGGAGTTTATAATAACCTTACTGTCTAGTTAAAGAGTTTCTACCATGCTTGATTAGCAAAACACTGGATTGCTAACCAAAGTCGGGTGGTTCAAACCTACCAGCCACTTCTCAGAAACCCTGTACAGGGTCTGTATGAGTTGAAACCACCTGGATGGTACTTAACAACAACAACAACAACAACAACAAGATCTGGCAATGTTATGGAGTTTCTGGTTTGTGCCAACACTAGATGTGTTCCACTGCTAAAGACAGGTTGGAAGTGTGCATCTAGGTTGAGGTACCTTAGAGGAAACGCCTGCTAATACACTTCAAAAAAAATCAACCATGGAAAACCGTATGGAGCACAGTTGTACTCTGATACACATGGATAAGCAAAGTACCTAGTGTAGGGCCTACCACAAAACTCAAAAAACCCATGCCATCAAATGGATTCCAACCCATAGTGGCCCTTAGAGGATAAAGTAGAACTGCCCACTCACGTTTCCTAGCCTGCAGGCTTTATGGAAGCAGATGCCACGTCTTCCTCCCATGGAGCAGCTGGTGGGTTTGAACTGCTGAGTTAGCAGCTAAGCACTTCATCACTGAGCCACCAGGGTTCCTTATCACAGAACTGATGTTAGATTGATACAGGCTCTCTCTCCAGCTTTCTGCAGGCATCCTTCTCAATTATTCAGAATTTGAGGGTTCTAGTTCTCAGTATGGAGTCCTGGTGTGGTGCTCACTATGGGGTAATGTGCTGGACTGTAAAGTCAGTTTGAACCACAAGGTCAGCAGTTCAAGCTCTCCAGCAGGTCCTTGGAAACACTTTACAGGGTTGCTAAAAGTTGGAACCGATTTGACAATACTTAACAGCAACCACAACAAAACTGGCAGTATATATTAGCATGCACGTCTTAAAGACTTGTTTCTTCTGTAAACTTGATACATGGGTGGTTTTCTATTACCGTAGCGAAGAAGAAGAGTCCGACTTTCTAATCTAGCACTATTGTTAGATGGTAAAATCTGGCAGGATGAATTAAATGCGTAGGCTGCAAAGTTTCAGACAATTTGCAGTTATGTATACTGTGTTCTAAATGACCACACTGTTGATACAATTGTAATGCATCAAGTACCACACTACCCAACTACAGACATGTGTATGTCTTATGCTCCAATTAAATCAATGCCCATCTTCAGCCAACATTAGAACATTCGGCATTGTTTTTTGTTGGCTTTTGAATTTCCCTTTCTCAGTGAGTCATTTGTAGGTTCATATGTTCACATAAACAGAACTAAGATGCTCGCATAATACTCTGGTGCCCAGGGAAAATGCTGAATGAATTGCTTAATGGCCCAAAATATAACAAAAATCTAAAGAAACTAATCATATGCCTACTGGATAGCAGCAATGTAGTCACTGTTGAAAGCATATGCCAAAGAAATAAATTACAGACCAAAGCTATTCCTCTTGTTCCACTCCACGGACAGAAGAAATAGTTTATATTATGATATAAAAAGCATATTGTGAATAGGAACAAGCAACATTCTTACATACTTTCCCTAAAAGGCTCAGTATAGTTCTTTATACATAAAATAGAATCATCTCCAGTAAAGCAATGAAACGCAAAAAGAAAAAGTACCATCCTGGTATGGCACTGTGGGATAATGCACTGGACCGCAAGGTCCATTTGAACTGCTAGGTCGGTGGATCAGATTCACTTGCC